TTCTCCTCTGTGTGTGTTGCCTTCAAGTCCTTGTTTGGGCTTCACCTCTTAACTGAGTCTGCTGAATTCATCCCTCACTTATAAACATGATCAGGCGTACAAGTTGGACTGAACCGTTCAAGGTTCGGCAGTTGGGTGATAGACATCTGGATTTACCATCCTTATCAACTCACTTTTTATCAAAAGGCGTCTTCAGATTTTTATCCATATATAAAACAGTCCAGGAGAAGAGATGTTGCGTTGCACTGGATGCAACCTTCCTAAAAACTGACAATTTGATCAATGTCTGATGACAGTTTTTGTTTGCAAATAATTACCTGATCTACTGGAAAAATCCCCAGAAATTTGAAATGATCTTTAGCTTTGGAAACTCAAATTTAAGTTGGAAAGTTTCCCATTGTTCACAGTTGAAATGGTTTAAGTGCTCAGATTTATTTATCTAAAGCACATGCTCTCAGAAACCTGGTCTCAGTGCGTAACGAGGGATGTTCCAAGGGAGATTCTCACAATATCAGGCTGTAAATACCAGTAATGCATCAGAGGACTACAGTGTTTAAGGTGATCTCGTCTCTGGAAACCTCCTGTGGTTAAAACAGGAACAGATCTGAGTTATTCTAAGATTTTTAAACTGAGGACTAGTGTGCATAATAGGGCTGCAACTAATGATAATATAACTGTCGATTAATCTGTTGGTTATTTTTTTCAATTAATTGTTGAGTTATTTGATGAAAAATGTCAATCAGTCAGTCTGTTTACACTGCTGCTACTACAGCTGATAGAAAATGGATCATTCTGCTGGTATTTATTACAGACAACATTCAATCAATAACATTAATTTCACTTTGATGTGGTCAAAAAATAAAGTGATATCCTGCATTATGGGACAGTGTCAAACCTAACTGCACTTTAACACAAGATCAGGTTTAAATAGTTAAACAAGTTTAATGTGCAGCTGTCAAAACAAGCGGCTGCACTGATTGATAAAATAAACATATTAACATGTTTAACAGTTTTCAACCAGCATTTATGTCTTGCACCATTTGCAGGAGCAGCGCTTTTTTTTTTTACCATCGTACATTTTTATATTCCTCATAGCTCTCCATTACAACAACCTGTTGACTGAAGCAGTTACACACAATTGTTTCATTTTGTGCAAAAGAGTCACGTAATGCATTAAAAGCATTTTATGTTTTATTATCACAGAGCCTGAAGCAGAAAACCTGAGTTAACAAAGAAAGCTGACAACCACCTTTGTGACACCTGATATCTCTGACTGGGGCTTTAGTTTCTGTTGAGCCAACTTACACAAAGAAAGCCCCACTTTTCAAATTTGCTTCATATTATACACCTCTGAAGCCTCTACCTGAGGGTCATGGGTCCAGAAAGGATTGGTCCACAACAATGCTTGC